GAAATATTGGGACACTTTTCTAGATTATTTACTCTTCCAAGTTTTGTGCTCTTTCTTCCAAGTTTTGTGCTCTTTTTTTTTTTTGTTTTGTTTTGTTTTTTGAGACAGGGTTTCTCTGTGTAGCTTTGGAGCCTATCCTGGTACTTGCTCTGGAGACCAGGCTGGCCTCGAACTCACAGAGATCCCCCTGCACCTGCCTCTGCCTCCCGAGTGCTGGGATTAAAGGCATGTGCCACCAACACCCAGCTGCATGTGAGTTTTTAAAATAAATAATATAGCTAAACTCCCGGCAAACCTGACAGATATGAAGAGAGAAAATCTAAAGGGCACACACACACACACACACACACACACACACACACACACACTAGTTCAACCAAAGAAGCAGCTAAAACTAAGATAGTAAGAAATACTGCGTACAGATTAAGCCAATACAGTTTAAAATTGAGATTAAGACGTTTATAGAGAAATCTTTGATCATAATCAAAGCTGATTAATGAAGAGGGTGAGACATGAATGAATCAATAACCAAGAAGAAATTTAAGCAGTTGCAAAGACACACAGCTGACAAAGATGTAGACCTGAAAGTGTAGTCAATGAATTTGCCTTTCAGAGGTTCATTTATTTTTGTCTTCAGTGCTTCAAGAATGAAGAAGAAAGTGGAATGGTTGCATATTCCTGATGTCAAAACAGGCTACTCTCTTTGATGAAAATATTAATATCCTAGGCAGACATTTGTGCACAGTTCATAAGAGTATCAAGAGGATAATATGCAGTGATTAGGAATGGTTTGCTCCAAGAAGGCAGAATTGCTGCAGTATTAGCAAATGTAGTGTTGTGTCTGTCATTATAAAACAAAGAAGAATCACATGGCCACTATTAATAGACATTTTAAAAGGATCAGATAAAAATCTCTGTGTATTTTTGAATGGTAAGTAAATTTTAAAATGAGTAGAAGGAGAAATTCCTAGGTCTATCAAAATGTTCTTATCCTTAATGTTGAAATATTTTAATGATTGTAGTAGATCCTGCCGACTAAAGTATTGAACATGAAAATAGTGTTGCCACGTTTACTAGGGTGAGACACCAGAAATCAGTTTCCTCGGCGCATCTTAAAATAACAAGGCATGCATGTGGTATGATGATAGGCTTTATTTTGTTTTGTTGTTGTTGTTTTATTTGAATTAGAAACAAGATTGTTTTGCATGTCAATTTCAGTTCCCAGGCCCTCCCCTCCTCCCCTACTACCCCCTCCCAACTAACAGCCTACCTATCACATATCCTTTCTGCTCCCCAGGGAGGGTGAGACCTTCCAAAGGGGGGTCATAAGAGTCTATTGTATGCTTTGGGATAGGGCCTAGGCCCACCCCTGTGTGTCTTGGCTCAGAGAGTATCCCTCTATGTGGATTGGGCTCCCAAGGTCCACACCTATGCTAGGGATAAGTACTAAACTACTACGAGGTCCCATAGATTTCTGAGATTACCTCACTGAAACCCATGTTCCTGGGGTCTGGATCAGTCCCATGCTGGTATCCCAGCTATCAGTCTGAGGACCAAGAGCTCTCCCTTGTTCAGGTCAGCTGTTTCTGTGGGTTTCAGCAGCTTGGTCTAGACCCCTTTGCCCATCACTCATTCTTCTCTGCAACTGAATTCCAGTTCAGTTCAGTGATAGTTGTGGGTGTCAGCTTCTACTTCCACCAGCTGCTGGATGAGGGCTATCGGGTGGCATATAAGTCAGTCATCAATCACATTATCAAGGGAGGGCATTTAAGGTAGCCTCTCCTCTGTTGCTTAGAGTGTTAGCTGGTGTCATATGTGTAGAGCTCTAGACATTTCCCTAGTGTCTGATTTCTCTGTAAACCTACAATGTCTCCCTCTATTATGCTATCTCCATTCGTGTTATCTTCTATTCTTCCCCTGACTCAACCTTTCTGCTCCTTCATATCCTCTACATCCCTCCTCTTCTCCCCTTCTCGTTCTCGTAGCTCCCTCCCCCCTCTTCCCATGCTCTCAATTTGCTCAGGAGATCTTGACCCTTTCCCCTTCTCCAGGGGACAATGTTTGTCTCTCTTAGGGTCCTCCTTGTTTCCTAGCTTCTCTGGCAGTGTGGATTGTAGGCTGGTAATCCTTTGCTCTATGTCTAAAATCCACATATGAGTGAGTAATACCATGTTTGTCTTTTTGTGACTGGGTTACCTCCCTCAGAATGGTTTCTTCTAGTTCCATCCATTTGCCTGCAAATTTCAAGATTCCATTGTTTTTTCCACTGAGTAATACTCCATTGTGTAAATGTACCACATTTTCTCTATCCATTCTTTGGTTGAGGGGCATCTAGGCTGCTTCCAGTTTCTGGCACAAATAGTTTCAGCACAAATAATGCTGCTATGAACATGGTTGAACAGATGTCCTTGTTATATGAATGTGCTTCTTTTGGGTATATGCCTAAGATGGAATTGCTGGATCTTGTGGTAGACTCATTCCGATTTTCTTGAGGAGTCGCCATACTGATTTCCAAAGTGGCTGTGCAAGGTTAGGCTTTATTTTTAATTGAGGCAGATGAACAAATAAAGTTGTGCCTTCACAATGTATGTGAGGGGTGTGTGTGTGTGTGTGTGTGTGTGTGTGTGTGTGTGTGTGTGTGTGAGAGAGAGAGAGAGAGAGAGAGAGAGAGAGAGAGAGAAAGAGAGATTTTGGTGGAATCAGCTGGAATTTGGTGAACAGTTTGCATCTGACCAGTGTTAACATTGTGTCAGAAATAAAGAGGTGCTCCTCCTCCTATGTATGCTAGTAAAATAAAAGTAAATTTTGCCCAGTTGCCTTCCTAGGACTTACTGCCTTAAAATCACTATTCTGGTATTAACAACCTAGTTGTTATAGACAGACTCCGTACTGTAATAGGCGTTTACAGGCATACAGTGGATAACGCCTTGTCCAGAGGAATCAGGAAGGAATCGTGAACTGTTGAGAGGTAGCAGTGAGTGCAGAATGCTGGTGGCAAGCTACTGGGCCTTGTGAGATGACTAGAATCTCCACACATAGAGGGAGGAAGCAAAAGCTTCTTGAGCTGAGAGAACAGAATGAATAAATGGGTGGTGGCAAGAGCTGTAGGCTGTTACATAGACCCTCGGTGCTCGAACCTCGCTAAACATTCCCTCAAGCACATTAAAAGAAGAAAAATAAGAAACAAACAAGGGCCCTCTAGTTGGTGAGTTAGCATGATATCAGAACCCCTTGGTTTCTCTAAAAGTTTCACAGATGGTTCCATTCACCGTCAGGGTTGAAAACAGTGATGCAGTCCAGTGTTTGACTAGAGTGTCAGGGGTGTCAAAGCACTGAGAGAGGTGCCAGAGAGGACAGAGCCAGGTGATAGCCAAGATAACATTGTTTTGGTTCCGTTTGTATTCAAGTTTTATTTCTATTACATTACCACAATTCTTCCTTTTTTTTTTTTTTTTTTTTTTTTTTTTTTTCTTTTTTTTTTTTTTTTTTTTTTTGCTATTATTTCAAGATAGGTTCTCAACTATGTGTCGTAGGCTGGTTTTAAAACCCATGACACTCCTCCTGCCTTAGCCTCCAGGTGCTAAGATTAGGCATGTGCCACTGTGGCTGGTGTCCTCCTCTCCATTAGATGTCAGCCAGGTGTCCCTTAAATAAAATTGACTCCTTGGTGAATTTGAAGCGAAACATGAGGTGAAGAGGTGAGAACTGCCAGTGTTGCTGTGTGCCCGCCTCCAAAAGTTAAAACAACGCCATTTTGTTGTTGCTCATATTCTTGTAGGTTGGCAGTCTTTAGTCATCTGGGGGGCAAGCTGGCCTCAGTTGTCTAATATTGTTAGCTCACAAAGCTCTCAACTGAGAGCCTAGCAGGGGCTGTCAGGGCATCTTTGTGGGCATCTTGCAGCAGAATCACTGCTGGGTCCCTAGCAGAAGCACTGTAAGAGCAAGCCCTTGAAAGGGCCAGGCTACAAAACACCCTGTGAACTGGGCTTGTTAGCCTCAGACATCACTGCCATGTTCTCTGGGTCAAGCAGCCCGCTTTCAGTGAAAGCCAAGCAAACTCCATCCTGTGCGGGGAAGAATGTGCAAGGAGAGGAAATGGATGAGGGACATTTTTAGAGACTTGCTACCCCAATGTCACTGCACCAACTAACACAGGGTCAAAGCTCACGAAGCCAGTATTTCAGGAAATCTAGATAGTAATGAAGACAAAGCAATGAGAATAAAGGGATCTGAATATTGTAAAGTGTGGGTTAAAATATGTGGAAGCTGTTGATGGAATATCTGACAGTAAAGAACACACCCTTACTTCAGATATCTGGACAACATCTGCCTTTCTTCTCCAGAGCAGAGACGCACATGGCCCCCTCTTCACACACAAATCTAGAGCCTTGACCTGGTGTTTTAAGCATTACAGTTGTGTTTCTTTAATCTGTTCTCTGTTCGGTGGTTCTGTGATTGCAGCTCTGTCTTCACACTTGGGTGCATTCTCTCTGGTTTTTCCTGGGTTTTGGTTGCTGAAACAAGCGGCATGAAAGGGAGTTTGTTTTGATTCCCCATAGCGTCATATTCAGAACAGCTTTGACTCGGCCTGGGAGGCTCTGTGTGCTTCAGGGTCATCCTCCAGCAGCCCTTGGAGTCTCCTCGTTTCCTTATAGTAACTTGGGGATTGAGCCATCACATTGTTTTCCACGTGTTGTTTTGAAGTCTCATAACAGAGTTTTTGCTTTGTTTTATTTTTTTTTTTACTTTGCTTTCTGAAACTTGTGTAACTTGCCATTCCTGGTCCCATTCAGTCAGTCTGAAATGGGAGTCCAGGATGTGGGATGATGCAGTTTCCGGGCCTATGAACGCGTCCTGCACACTTCATGTTGTGGTCATGCTGTTACCTTGATGTATGGGAATGTTTTATGAACTGGATCTTGCCCTTGAGCCACACAAGACTGGCATGTAATCCAACAGCTGGCCTCCTCAGTAATGCTCAGATTCCTTTGCTGTTGCAGGTCGTCACACTGTGGTACCGAGCCCCAGAAGTCTTGCTCCAGTCCAGCTACGCCACCCCCGTGGACCTTTGGAGTGTCGGCTGTATATTTGCAGAAATGTTTCGAAGAAAGTAAGGACTCCTTTTCCTCTTTGAATAATCGGTCTTTTAAGTGGCAGCGTGGCATTTCGGTCCCATTTGAGGTCATGGTCAGACCCAACTGTGATTGGTCCTGTCCTAGGTCCACATTCTGTTTGAGGAGCAATCCCCGGATGCCTTACTAGTTAACTTGAAGCATCTTGCGGTACTAGCAGTGAAGAAAGACCCTCAGGGTGGACTTTATCCCCAGGAGGATGATCGGGTGTTTATAATCTAATAAAGCTTACCTGAAGATCAGAGTGCAAAGCTAGCCCCAGCCATAGAGGCCAGGCAGTGGTGGTACACAGCTCTTATCCCGGCACTCAGGAGACAGAGGCAGATGGCTCTCTGTGTAGCATGAGAGTGAGTCAGTCTAAAACAGAAACATAACTCACACCTTTAGTCCCAGCTCTGGGGAGGTGGAGACAGGAGTGATATGACTGGGCGGAGAGGGAACTATAAGGTGGGAGGAGACAGGAACTCGGGGCAATCTCAGGGAGTCTGAGGAGCAGTGCAGTGGAGTCTGAGGTTCGGTGGATCCCCTCTTCTGTCTGGGTATTGGTAGAGGTGAGAACTCTCTAGAGGCTGGCAACTTTGCTTTTCTGATCTTCAGGCAAGCTTTGTTTATTATATCATAAACAAAATATCACCACAGTCAAGGCTATGAAATACACAGGGGTTTTTAACAAAAATTCTAATGGTGGAAACTTTTGGGGGAGGGGATTAAGTGTTTTTTTAAAAAAGGCAAAGTCTTATATATTTGGTTGTAAGCCTAGCCTTTAACAGCTGAGATATCTCTCCCTAGTACACAGATGCTTTTAGGAAACTCAACTTAGAGGGATGCTCTCTCAGTCTAGACACACAGGGGAGGGCCTAGGCCCTGCTCCAAATGATATGACAGACTTTGAAGATCCCCATGGAAGGCCTCGCCCTCCCTGGGGAGCAGAATGGGGATGGGATAGGGGGTTAGTGGGGGGGAGGGGAGGCAGAGGAAACTGGGATTGACCTGTAAAACAAGCTTGTTTCTAATTTAAATTAAAAAAAAAAAAAAGGTGAAGGCAAGGTGGCCATGAGTGGTGCTTCACAGCACTGACAGAGTCCCTCCACATGGAGGAGAGATCAGGTGTATTTAGCCACTATAGAGGGACAAAATAGAACCTCGGATATAGAAATCAAAATCGAGGTTTTCGGGTCGATGAGATGCTCAGTGAGCACTTGCTGCCAAGCCTGAGGGCCTGAATTTAGTCCCAAGACACACATTGCACATGAAGAAAACTGACTCCCCGGTCCCCTGACCTTCATGGGTCTGCTGTGGCATGCCCGTGCACACAAAGTAAAATGCATGCTTGAAATGGAGATTTGCTTAGAAGGGGGAATCTAATGATCTGCAAGGATTTTGTGTGTGCTCGGTGTGTCCCAGTGTCTACCACGCATTGGAGATGTTCTCAGCAGTGGTGGGAGAGCTGCGTGATGTCCGGGGCCACCTGCATGTGAAAGCTGTAGTTCACATGACATTCAGGTCACAAAAATAGGCAAGCAGCACGATAAAATCCTGTCAGGAGAATAAACAGAGGGCTAACTGTGATCTCTTCTTTGCTATTCTTGTTTCCCTCACAAGAGGTGAGTGAGGAAGCCGAGTGCCTGCCCACTGAGCATATGCAGAAGATGGCTCTGTGCAGCCTCTTTTCTGAGGAAAGAAGTGGTTGGCCATTGTGGCTTGCCGTTTGTTACAGCCAGAGGAAGTGTGTGCGGTGAGCTTTGTGAAGGGCTGCCAGACCTCGGCAGAATTCACTGTGCCGCACAGATGGGATCGTGGCAGAGACACACCTGATGGTACAAACAGTGTTTCCTGCTGGCCTACTGTGTGTCCAGAACATTGCCAGTTTTCCCTTGCATTTCCTTTTCTAACCCTTGATGGAAGAAGAAAGGGAGTCCAGTAAATTCTAATCTAGTAATGATTTACATAAAATAATAATGATAAATAAAAAACAAGGGAAGGAATAAAAATTGCTGTGACTATCAACCAGGCTAGTAAGTAGGGCTTAGGACACTTGAGGGAAAAAGGCTTGTGTACCTTGCATGCATGTGAAGTTCAGAAGTCTACCTCGGTGTCATCCACATTTTGTTTTGGAGACAGGCAGTCTCACTGGGTTAGCTGATTAAGCTAGGCTGACTGACCCCAGGGGTCCCACCTGTTTCCACCTCCCCAGCCACAGGATTGCACACGCTTGCCATTTTCTGCTTTTTCTGTTGGTGCTGGAGGTGCCTGTGTCTGCTAGACAAGCACTTCACCAACTAAGCTGTCTGTTCCGTCTTTCAGTAAGTAGTGTATGAAAGTGTGGTCCCTGGGTGGCGCTTTAGACCTTTCTTAGAAATGTGAATTCTTAGGACCCATCCTACACGTCCCGAGTTGGGATTCTGGGGCTAGATTCTGTCTCCCTGTGTTTTGGTGATCCCTTCACTTGATCCTAATAACAGGCTAAGAACCACTAGATGGGATGATGGTGTGGCCAGAAATGGGCAGTACTTAAAAACGTGTGTCTCCACACTCTCTTGGGGCTCTGATTCATCGATGAGTTGGGTCATGAATCTTGTCTTTTACATGTGCCTTGGCTGATTCTTTCATCCATCAAGAGTGGAACCTATTAGGTTAAGGGTCAGGCATTGGATTAAGACCTAGAAGTAGAGCTTGGTAGAAGTCAGGACAGGTGTCCAGGCTATCCAGGGAATAACTCAGTTCTACAAGTCAATTAGAAAAATGTTCACTGGAATTATATTTATGAGGCTAGAATTTTCCTCAGTGTAAAAATGGAGTCCCTATTTTGGGGGTGGAGAAGTCGGTTATTTTTCCACAATACTACTAGATTAGCCGTGATTGGTGATTTTAAAAGCCTATTTTTGAAGAAGCCAAAAGATAAAAACTTAAGATACTAGAATTGAGCATTCATTAGTAAGATTCTGGCTATATCTTTAAAAGTCTGAGTGGCACCCACCTATGGAACTGTTCAACCCAAAGTTGCACTTTTAAGTCTTCCACATATTTATTTACACCTAAGTGATTAGTGTAAACTGATAACCAGCTTCCCAGCCTAGCTTACAGGCTCTTGAATAATTTGGAACATACATGAAACATTGTATTGCTAGTTCATTGCAACCTTTTTCCTATAGGAAATCTTCCTAATGTATTCCAATTCACCATGACAAGAACACCCCTCTTCCCACCTCAGAATTAGGACTGAGAAAGGCAGCTCACGAAAAGTCTTCTTGGTGATGGTGGCAATCCTCTATTTTGCTGGGAGAGTAAGATACTAGGTAGAGACCCATTGGCTCCTCAGATTATGGTCACAGGAAAGTACCCTTTCTCCTACATAAAGGTTGAGAGGGAAAAAAAATAAATGATTGAAGGAGGAAACAGACACAGAAACTGGGTCCTAAAGCTAAACAGAATAAATCTAGACCAAACACCTAACCTTCCTAGGATAGCCCTGTCCCTGGTTGCCCCTGCTGGTTTGACTGTGACCTTGAGCATGGATGTCGAACTTTGGACTTAGTTTCTGCTCAGTTCTCACTGACACTACCCAGGTATGCAGGCACGGCGTGCATCATACTTAGGTCAGAAGTGTCCTGGTACTCCAGCATCGCTGGGATCCAGCGGACTCCTGATGCTGTGTAGATCCTACTGAGAACTCAAAAACCCAGGATCCCGAAAGCGTACTCTTTGATTACCGCAGGCTAATCTAAGTCTGGGAATACTGATACCTGTCCATTTTGTGTTCCTGCTGGTTGCAGAGGCAGTAATTTATACAGCGTATCATCTTTAGTACCGCTACTGTTTTTGCTATACCCTTATGGCAGCTTTATTGCAGTTTACTTACCTTTTTTTACTTCCCTTAATCAGCCTAGTTTTTTATTTAGCCTCACCCTAAACAAGAATATGTAAAGCCATAGCTTTGGTAAACTGGTTATTTATTTGTCTGATAGACATGAGAGTTGGTGTAAATATCAAGATGATTAGAACGTGGTCCACGTCCATCATCATTTAAAATGACCTCACCCATGACCAGCTGAGAACCAGCTGAGAATGCCCAACATGAGAACTCTGTAACACAACTCCCTCTAGAATGGTTACTGTGTAAGAGGCCCACTCTTGAGGGATGACTGGCTGTCTTAAACCCTAGTGGGTGTGTGATGTGTTTGTTAAGCAGACCTGGCTTATACAGAATGGGATACTGTGGGTTGGTATAAGAAAACTGTTTGGGGGGGTAAAGAATTCTCAGTGAAAGCTTAAAAGTCACATCCTGGTTATTTATTTAAGATCTTTGAGGAATAATCATTTTTGCATAAGCAAAACTTGCCATCTTACACAACCTGGGGAGAAGAAAAGAAGCCAAGGGAGTTAACCACCCATGTTCTGACAGGCCCAGGTGCAGGGCCTTCACACACATTATTTCACCAGGCCACATTCAGAGGCCCAGTATCCAGAGGATAGCAATATGGACTCTTTCCAAATAGAGTGAATAACTTTCTCAGGAACACCAGCTATTACATGTCGGGGGGTGGGGGGGATCAAAGTCTGCTTGACGCTGTAGCCTTTGATTTTTCTGCTCTGTTGGTTTTGCTCCTGATACTACCAAACATATGAAGCCTGTGTTGTTGTTGTTTTTTTTTTTTCCTGGAGTATTTTATGTATTGCTACAAGAGAACAGCAATGATATTTTAGAGATGGAAAAACAGATGACACATTCAATGACCTTGATTTCCAGTCTCCTTAACATTGGAAAGATTGATTGATCCTCATTAGTGTTATCAAAAGATACATGCTTTCTATTCTAGAATTGATACCTAGGAAATCCAAGCTTAATAAAGAAGTCTTAGAGCAGATGGTTGCCAAAGAGCCAGAGAGTTAAATACCATCTGTCACTATTATCTGAGTTTAATAATTGCCTGCACTGACCCACAGAAGCGTTCTACAAAATGGATTAGAGCTAGGTTTT